GTCAAGTCGCAAGTATACTCGGGTAGGGCGATATATACTATATAGCAAATCTCACCAGCTTGATTGTTTATATCATTGCAAAATGTAAATTATATTATTGCCCAGCTCTTACACGCCAGTTTTGTACTTTTTTCTTGAATGTTACATCACTTGGCATATTTAAAGTTATTAGATTAAAAAACAAAATTGAATTTGTTATCAGTGCTTCATAAGTGAAACCAGCATGAATGCATTTTTAGGTGCCTTTATTTTTCATTTACCCACACAATAAGTCTCTTGTTTACTGAATCTTGCAGTTATAATACATTGAAAGTCATTTGTGTGAACAGTAGCGATATTGTATTCTAGATTTGTGACTCAAGGCATGATTATGCAATAATATCTGCATTTTGAACAGGTTTGTATTGCAGAGAATGAAAAGAGGTGGCAAAGCTGGTGTTGATGAAATGCTTTTAAAGGTTCCTCGATAAGCTCCTTTGCTGGGTGTTTGTGTGTAAGTGACAGACTCTCACAGCCCTGTCAGACTGTTTCTGCACACAAGCAGTTCTCCTAACATTATGCTTACTGCTTCTTGACTTGTTTTGTTCATGTGTAATCCCTCCGCACTTGGTCGGCTCCATTCGCTGTGCTCGGGCTGCTGAAACTGCAGCTCGCTTTTAAACCTTGCTTAACTTTTCAAACCGACTTTCAAAGCACCTTGTCATGAGAAAGCAAAGCACCGAACTCTCTCACACATCACGCCCGCATTATTTTCATTGCTGGTCAAAAAAACGCTTTCATCAGTGTTTTCTTTATTGCACGGTGACATACACTTAGCAACGATTTTAATATTTCTGGGAGAATATACACTTGATGTAGGGCTGCACGATATTGGAAAAAACTCACATTGCGATATTTTTTTTTCTGCGATATGTATTGCGATATGAAAAAAAAATCAGATGACTTCAATAGTCATCAAAAAAATCAATGATTGGGGTGATTTTGTAGGTGAGTAAATCAGCATAGGAAATAAACAAATTACAAGCATTGATAAATAACAGAACAAAGATACAAGCAGTGCTTGTCTATTGTAGTAGTGCTTGCAGATTTTTCAGGTAAGTCTAACAGTATTCAGGTACAGAAATTGAATAGGTGGAACCGGGGTTTTAAACCACTCAGAAAGAGCACGAGGCTGCTGTGCGTAGCTCTTACCATACAGGATTTTAGAAAAGAACGCAGAGTACTAGCGTGCAAACTTACCACAGTGTGGATTTTAGAAAGTGTACAAAGACTTCACGTGCACACTTACCATAACATGAATTTTAAAAATACCGTTCTAAGGGGTTCTCGTGGCACTTTGAAAGAGCAGGCAGCCCATAGATGGAAATGGTGCATCCCAAACGCTATGTTTGAGAAGTCATCAACTCAGTCTAAGGTTTATAATGCTGGAGTGGCTAGCAGTAAATCTGTAGCTGAGGGGGCAAACATCCAGCTCTCAATCGAGAGGGAGCTCGACCTACAGCATGTTCCAATGGAGGAACAGCTAGCAGTTATTTAGCTGAGGGAACAACACCCCCAGTTCTCAAACGAGAGGAGGCTCGACCTGCAGCATGTTCCAAAGCTGGAACAGCTAGCAATAATTTACTTAGCTGT